AAAAAAAATTTTTTACAATAATTTGGAACAATGGATCCCAAACAGAAAAAAACACTCGTATCTTATATGGAATTATTCAGAATTGCATTTGGAATAAACCTATACATGTCTTGGCTGGTACTTTTTGAGTAAATTCACCAAAAAGTAGTGATTTTGGGGAGGAAAAAAATATTTTGACTATTTAGATCTAGGCCTAGATCTAGCACTCAAAAATATTGATTTCTCAATTACAGTGCACTGGCAATTTGAGTCCAGTAGTATCAAAATTATAAAGAAGAGTCCTACATTTCTTTAGTGAGCAAAATAATGATACATTTTGTTGTGTAAAAGTACTAAGACTGGTGTCTGGGCTACAATTTGGGCTTCCCGATAAAACAATGTCGCATAAACTTCGAAATCGTGTTTCAAAACTGAATCAAAACTTTTGATTTTCGGTGGAAACGCTTGACCCGGAAGTCAACTTTATATTATGACCTTTATTTTAACATGGATATGTGGATTGGAATAGAAACCAAGCTAAAATTTAACGTCGGTTCTCGAGCCGCCGGGGGCGGCTTAGCGTACTGACGGCACTTTAGCCGCGCCGCCCCCCACGGCTCGGCATAGCGAATGAGTTAAGGATTAAATTTGTGCTTCTATTATGTGTCTTAGTGTTCAGGCCAGATTCTAGTTTTCTTTCATCTTGAATGTTACTGTTACTAGAATCTACTGTTACTGTGAAAAAGTTTTCAGCTGACGTCTCAGTTTCAGCGCAATGAACCGTGTGAGCAACATTTGAACATGGGAAGAAAGTGTAAGGAATGGGGTAGTAGAAGTGGTTATGCCAGCCAAAAGGAAGATGCAAAATAACAATAATATAGATTTCCAAAAGATTCGGGAAAAAAGCACAGTGGATCAAAAGTGTTCCAAATAAATTAATCATAGAAGATGTCACGGATTATAATATGGGAGTTTGCTCTCTGCACTTCTAACCTGATGTACCTTTGACACGGGCTGGAAGATTTATAGTGCCCTTAGAGTCTCCAACAAAATTTCCAGAAGTACCACCATCATATTGTGGCACACCAGCTCCAAAAAAAGAGAGCAACTACAACAAGTTCGGCTTCTTCTAGACCTGCTGATATTGATGATATGTTTAAAGAAAGAGATGTCTTCAAGTTCGATTCATTTTTATCAAACAATGGATATGACGCTGACAGCCATTGGCAATGTTGCAAAGAGTATAGATTATTATAATACATTTGTATTGCTCAGCAGAACTCGAGATGGCCCTGTTTTTTCATGTTCCATGTATTTTGCTTTTGTTCACCATACCCATGACCATGTGAAAGAGGTTTCATTTGAAGCTTCACAAACTGAAGCACACCAGGCATCTTGGCTTCACTATCGCACTAGAGATGTTGTCACATGCTAGAGTCAGTTAGCCTAGATGAAATTTTGCACTTCGTGTGTAACCTTCCAGAGAGACATTGTTGGCCTACATTACTACTACTACTTGTTAAGTAGGGTTAGTTTTTTTAATGGAAACCACTGAAAAACTGTGCAGAAACTGATTAGTGGCGATTTTGTGGGACTTTCCAGCGATATTCCATCTTGATTGTTATCGTAAGCTGATGCGGCTGGCAGATATCTTCATGAAAAGATTTGAGGAGCAAATGAAGGACAGGCGAAGAAAAAAATAGCAAAGTAACTTTTTTTTCAGAGGTCAGTTACATGCTTAATATAGTATATATATATATATATATATATATATATATATATAATTCTCTCTCCTCCTCCTCTCTCTCTCTCTCTCTCTCTCTCTATATATATATATATATATATATATATATATATATATATATATATATATATATATATATACAGTCAAACCTGTGTTAGAAGGCCACCCATTGTCAAGGAGAAAAGTGGCCGTATAAGACAGGTGGCAGCCCCATTATGTTGTCTTTGTTGGTGTTGTTGTTGTTGGCTTGTATTTCGTTTGTAATTTTTATTTTGTCGCTGATTTTGCACAAGGGTGACAATAAAACGAAATGCATCAGACAAGGAAGACTGAGTGCCATGTTAAAACAAACACATGGGTCGCCACCACTCGGAGAACGAGTGGCGCTTCTGTAACAAGTTCATGTTGACGTCCTTTGTTACTTTGTTACAGACTGGGTAAACAGTGACCACTCATCTCACGTACGATTTGTGTATGAGTTCTGGGCGGGGCTTATGGGTTATGAGGGATCACACGCTTACCTCACCAGCAGCTGAAAATTGGTAGCTATTGGTCAACAGTGGGAGGGGCCTACGCACACATGATCGGTTGGAGGGACTACCTAACAACAACGACAGGTGATTGAATTATGACAGCTCGCCCACAACGCCAGGGGCCAATGCACAACTTATGACAAAACGTAATGGAGTCACTAAGGTGACCGTCTTAGACAGGTGTTATTGCTTAGTATGATAGGGGTTGTGTGTTAAATTATGGTGGCCGCGGCCGCATTGGACAGGTGCCCGTTTTACACAGTTAAATTATATAGAAAAAAAGCAAGGGGGGGAATGGAAAGTGGCCGTCTTATAGAGGTGGCCGTCAGGGCAGGTTCGACTGTATGTCTGTGTGTGTGTGTGTGTGTCAGATTAATTTTCTTTCATATTTGTTGAAACATGTAGAATGAGAACGATGTTGCAAGTGAAGAACAAAAGTGATCCTACTAGTGTGCCACGGTCTTTTTTTTTTTTGGTGGTAAAATGCAAACGTAATTCATTTTCATGTTTACGAATTGATACTCTGTCACTGGAAAGATCTTCTTTTGTTATAAGAGCCGATAAACTCTCACAAAAAAGCTGCAACAACAAAAATGCATAGCATTTAAGTAAGGTTCGTTGTAGGTCAGTCTAGTGAATACAGTGCGATAATGCTCCATCACCCACACCAACGCACTAGTCTATCGCCGCTTTTCGCATTGACCCTCTGGGAACGTGGTAGGCCTCCAATGCCGAGGCCAGACGTGCGGGCTGGATGGCCTGGGACTGAGGAAGCCTAGGTCTGAGGGCAAATAATATGGAGTGTCCCTTAACTCATTGACTGCCATGGGTTGAAATCCCAATGTAACTCGGACTCCCTGCATTTCAAGGGTGATTTGGAACTTTCGTTATCAGATTAGCTATTCAAAGTAAACACTTATAATTGTCTATATCTATATTTATCATTTTTATGTTGTATTTTATTGAGGGGAAAACAAGTTTTTAATAGGTGTCATACTTTTGTTTGTATGATTATTTGAAATATGAGCATAAATTTAACAGAAGAATAATTGGGTTGTAAGTTTTTTTTTAAGTCACTTCAGTGACCTTCTGGTATGCCCTGTTCAATCGAGGGATGAACTTTTTTTTTTCATTTAGAGGCTATATATGATGTGTAAGTTGAGCCTAAAATCATGAAATTAACATGAGCCCAGATCTTCTAAAAAATGCCCATTGTAACTCAGTTCACAATTTTGTTTAAAACCCCAAAAAGCTTTATTAGTCAAATGTGAGGCATCGTGGTGAAATCAAGTGCTCGCCAAAATAACTTAATCATAGAAAGTGGCATTTTTCTGAATGTTGGGCTTTTTTTTTTTATGTGTTTTTTTGTTTTAACACCTTCTGTGTTAATTTAGAAAAATATTTCTTTGTAGATTTTACCAAAAATGTTGATTAAAGGATAAAAAAAATGTAAATTTGTGGTTCCCAAGGACTCTCAAGCTATTGAAGTCCATTTTCTTGCTAATTTTCCGTTTGAATCCAGGTGACCCCAGTCTCCTTCAAACGCAAATATCTCAACTTTTATTCAAGATAGATGAGTGGGGGGTTTTTTCTTTAAAAGCAAGACAAATGAACAGACTTTCTGAGAGTACAAATAGCCCAAAAATTGACGAGTGCCTGATTTCACTGTGTTGTGACGCAAATGAAAAATAATAAATTACATTTTATTGATCCCCGTGGGGAAATTTGGGTTACAATGGTAAGCATACATAATAAACAGTTATACACCATTACAGAACAATTTCACATACATACTATCGCTGGTCACCACTGTGCAGCATACTTTTTTTTTTAGCTACCGGCACAGTTGTCATGTCTTGTTCAAGGAATAAGGGATACAACTACAGAATTAAAAAGACATTTAAAATGGCATCCTTTTCTGCTACTGCCAAGACTGATCACGAATCAGGAAATTGTGTAACAACGATGATGAAGAAATCAAAGCTGACTGTTGTGCGGGTTTGGCTATTCTCATATGTCTAGGTCAACTGGCATAGCATTCATAAAGGCATTAAGTGAGTTATAAAAGCTTCTTGCTGAGTGGTGCTAAACTTTAAAAAATCATTTCCCAACCATTGCATAAATTTGCTAATCGGTTGTTGTTAAGAACTTGAAATACTAAAGAGGTTCACTGTTTCCAACTAAATTATGCAAATACCCTGCATATTTACTGAATGATTCCATGGTTTCTACTTGTGACACCAGACAAGTTCTCTGACTATGGAATGTCTAGAAGATCTGAATCAGCAACACTACCACTGTCACTATTCCTACCCTTTGGCTCCTGAGTCTGATTCAGCATCACTGACCTTCTATTGGGTCAGTGTCTCGATGGGACTCGGTCATTCTCGAAATTAGGACCTTTTAAAACTTGAAACAAAAAAAGTACAGTAACTTTTTTTAATGTCTACAAAAAAATTGCACACACAATCAGTATTGGCTGGGCCTGAGGAATCAAGGACTCCAATATTAGCTGTGCCAAAGGTAAGTGAAAGCTACAAATAGCCTACTTGTGTAAGGGTTAAGACAACTACTCCAACTACTCATGTGTAACTTTTTCTTTCTATTAAAAAGAATTACATTGGTAGTAATTTTGTCATGCTGCGTATTCATGTGGCAGGAGTGTACTGGTGAGGGAAGAGTGGAATGAGTGATGTTTTTGTTTTCCTTTTTGTTTTGTAACTGTTGCCTTCCGTTCTCCACAGAAACAAGTTGAGGCAAGTGTGCTGAAGTGCTATAACACATTCAAGTCATCTCTCGATATTTACCCAGAGTAAGCCTTTAAATTTAGAATATTTCTTTTTATTTCCGTGTCTTTTAAAAACAGACTTAAGATATAGCAGTGGGGGCAATTGAATGTCTCAAATAATTGTACGGGACAGATTTGGTGCAGGTCAGTCAATTTAACTGATGTTTTCATTTCTTTCAGATTTAACCGTAAAGGAGTCCTCTTTTGTCTTTTGAATGAAAAACTAAAGGTTCTGTTTTCACTTTTACTACAGGATCATGGGGAGCAAGTTTTTAAGCTCTTATATAAGTCAAAAGTCACAAAATGTCCCTTAATTTTGTTGTTGTTTTAAGTTATGTAGTAGATGGACTTGCCTACTAATTTTAATAGATAGTTTAACAAATTTCTTTGTGAAATTCAGGACAATGTATTATGTACATTTCCAGTGTCCCATTCCTTGAACGAGAAAGTCATGTGGAGTTTCTGCTGAAGGGCCTCAGGAACCTTTCTTCATCTTATGAGGTTTGGTTATTTGTATTTTGTGTTTCTTAAACTTACCTTGTGGAGTAGGGTAGTCTAGTAGTAAGGCTACCAGGCTCTTTATTGTGAGATTACAGATTGGGGGTTCTCGGCTCCCCTCAGTCTGACGTGGTGTCCTTGGGAAAGGCACTTTACATAAATTGTCCCATTTGGTTTGATCGTATCAAAGATAAATGTTAAATTTGGAGATCCCGGCTTCTTAGATAACCTAACAGTGTTGCAAGGGGGGATGATACAATCTCACACTATATTAGCTTACCTTAGTATAGACAGGTCCTGGGGAAACTTGGGTGTCACATGTCACCCAGTAAATCACTTCACTGCATGATCTTATATAAATATATATATGTGTCTCATGGTGATATAAAGAGCAGAGTCAAGTGAACAGGCATTGGCACTTTCACTGTAATTTATGTGTTTGAACAATTCTGATAAAATTGTTATTTGTTTTTAAAAATTATAAGTGAATACATTGCTAATGAAGCATTTATTTTTATTTTTGAGCTAGTCATTATTTAATTTGTGCCCAGTTATCTTGGATTTTAAAATTAGTAAAACTGAAGTAATCACAAATGGGTCTCATTTCATTTTCGTCAGTGCATTACGAAATGATGTAATGATTACGTTCTTATGTATTGAAAGGTCAAAGTGAATTTTCTCTTGATAGATTTGATTTTCTTGGTACTTCTGTCACTCTTTCTTTGTTACGTCTGTAGTATCATGGCTCTGCGTTTAGTCTTAATAGAAATTGTAAGGAATAGGGTAAATTATGTTGAAATGGGTAGAAATAATACTATGCACTCTGTCATTTTCCCTCTTGCTGTGTCCCTCAGTGCCTTGATTCGAGCAGACCATGGCTGTGTTACTGGATACTCCACAGTCTCGAGTTGTTGGAGGTGCCCATTCCGGAAGAGAGAGCCTTGGAGTAAGTTTGAGCCACATTTCATGCAAGTTTTTAAATCGAAGTTGTTGGGCCATTTATGTACGATCTACAGACATCTTGTTGAAAATTTTTTCAATGACAGCATTCAGCACTAGTGAAAGGAGTGTAGGAACTATATATCACTGGCTGGAGCTGTGAAACAAAGACATCTGGCAGTGGTCTATTTAGTTCATGTTCATTCTTATTCTCTGGTTTCCATGTCTTTTAGTCATAGGCTATGGCATTTGCCACGTCCTCTTCATGTTGTTTTTTTAGGAAATTGTGTAAGCGCAGAGATGCAGTTTTATGTAAGTCATATATTTATGACAAAAATTTACAGCTGCACTTTGATGTGTCGGAACGTCTAAGACTCATTTATGAGCTCAAGAAGTGTGAAGTTTCCTTTCTTAAAGGATAAAGACCAATTTTTCCGTCTTCAGAAGGCTTGCTCTATTACCTTGCTGGTTTTCCAGGATGTTTGTAACTTGCTTCTTTCTTTCTATTCCCAGAATTGCCAACTTTATTGGACGATGCCAAGACCCAAGGGGTGGTTTTGCAGGTAAAATATCCGTGGCTTGTATTGTAATTATATGAGTGTCATTCTGAGTTGCACAGATGTCTTGGCACATTGTTTGTAAGAAAGTTGAAATAAATGCTAAGGAAAGGCTCATAGGCTACGCTGAAAACTATCCAAAGTTGCAAAAGAATGGGTGAATTTGCACTTTTATAATTTTGTTTACCGTAATCAATTAACAAATTGGAAAAAGAGCAAAATTAGTGTAGAAGGCCACAGAAAAACCAATATATAAGTCAAATATAGATAACAGACCTTTTTATGGTAAAACGTAAAAGACAGGAACTGAGTTAAAATTATGGAAATAAGCCAATTAATCTAGGTTCCAGACCTGCCACTCATCCCGATTTAATCGGGATATCCCAATTTTTTCCCCCAAATCTCAAGCATCCAGATTTTCCCGATTTCTATCGCCAGTATCCTGATTTTTTTGTGGTTGCATCTGTTGCGTCCGATTCTTAGAAAAAAATATAAAAAGTTCTGCAATCTCTTTTGCTTGGAAACACCGATAGGACTTTTTATCTGCAGGAACTTGGAACGCTATTTTCTAAAGCATCTATGCCGAATCTAGATCTAGTAGATGACTAAACGCACGTTATTTAAACTAAAATCGACCTAGTTTCAAACGCTAATTCGCATCACATGACATGACCTCGTACGTGTCGTGAGTAGCGCGTGTCGGGGACCGTCGGTTGTCAGGGTCAACAAAGTTAATTCACACCGGTCGCGTTGGTCAAGGTGTTTTTCGGGACTTAACCAGTGTGGACGGCCGGGGGGAGGGGGTGGGGGTATTGTTTTGACACTTGGGCTTAAAGTGCGTGCCTTGATACAGGTACTAATTAAGGGCGGGAAAGGAATAAGGAAAAAAATGAACAACCTTGGCGCGATCTTTTTTTCGATGTGATGGAAGTCAAACTTCTTTGTTAAAACGTGGGCGTTTTGCGTGGATGATTAGAGTTACGTGTCAGCTATTTTCAAGACTACGAGTGTTTCAGCATCACTGCAACCTTCGCTCCCCCAGTCTATCCAACTTCGACTCGAGTACATATATGCTATCAAAGTTTTGCCTTGCATACTTGCCTCTTAAAAGGGGACCAGGACATTCCCCCCCTTCCCCAGTGCCCTTTATGATTGATTTGCCGTTGATCCCGATTTTTTTTTCACCAGATCCTTATTTTTTAACTCAGAAATCCTGATTTTTAGATTTCATAGAGTGGCAGGTCTGAGGTTCTCAAATAATGCTTAGCAATGCTATAGCTCTTCAGTGGTGGTCTCAAGATGTTTTTTTGTCGCTGTTTTTTCGGGGGGGGGGGGAGGGGGGGTGTTTTACATCGCTCGCAACTGCATATGGTCATATGAGCACACGGGTCACATTAAACATTTTCAGTTGGGAGGGAGTCTTTGAGTAAGACATATTATCCCTACCTGCAGACAAGGTGTTCAACAGTAACAGCAACTTCATTTGTGTGGTGGTTTTGTATTGTGTGTTATTATGTTGCAAGCTTTGAGTATATGAATACACAACTGACCAACATTTTTTCCCATAGTCAATTTAAAAAAAAAAAAATTTCCAGGGTCAATTTTAAAAAGTGTTTTTTTTTTTTATTATGTTAATTTTTTTTACAGCTTTTTCCTGTGTGCCTTCTGGTCTCCTCAAAACCCCAAATTAATGTTAGTACTGTGAATGTTTCAGGAGGACCTATGCAGTTCCCACACCTGGCACCAACATATGCAGCTGTAAATGCCCTGTGCATACTTGCTAACATCACAGAGAAAGTATTGGATGTAATAGACAGGTATCTAGTGTTTTTCTAATTTTTCGTCTCATAATGCTATTTTTATTTATAATAAAAAAGAAGGTTGCCCTTATGGAGGAACTTCTTGAGGGTCAGGAGAGGTTGATAAGTATTTGAACATCTGTGAGAGATAGATTTTTTTCCAAACTTTAACTTGACCTGAAAATGAGCAGCTGGCAAAAATGACAATGTTTTCTTTTTTTATTACCCAACAGAAAATAGTGATAACTTCCAAATTGTCACTGCAAGAACTAAACTCTGTTTTAATTTGTTCCCAAAATCTAATAATAATAATGATAATAGATTGCATTTATATAGCGCTCTATCCCGTACATATATAACAAATATAACAGGTTATTCGCAGAAAATTGTCGCCCCCTGTTAGTTCCCTGATTTCCCAGTTATGGATACACTTCTCTCAAAGATTTTAAACTTTACAGTCCCAGTCGTGTATTTCTCTCACAAATTCTGGTCCCCACAGGCCTCTAGCGATTTTGAACCCACTCAGGTATTTTTACCATGATGTATCCAATTGTCCATGAAAGATATAATACTGCATGATGATGTTATTATCTAAAACTTCAAACAAAAACAATGTCTAGAAATGTTTTAATGTCTGCAAAAAATTACAAACACAATGAGAATTGACTGGGCCTGAAAAGTCAAAGACCAGAGTACATCCTGGGTCGGAGGGAAATGAGGGATAAAGTTCTCTCAATGCTGTGCTGTATGGGTTAATGGTTTTACTGTGTCAGCGTGCATCTGTTCCACTCAGTCAAACATGAAGAATGATTTTTGACCCTACTGTTCTTTTAAACATCCTCTTTTCAGACAAAAGCTGTATGAATACCTCATGAGAATGAAAACAGAGGATGGAGCATTTAAGATGCACGATGGAGGAGAAGTTGATATCAGGTAAAAATCTCCACCTTTTCAATCTTTTAAAAAAATTTGTAGCGCTCTGTACCATGTAATCTTTGTCTTGTTTGAGCTCTCTCTCTTTCTCTTTCTCTCTATCTCTTTATCTTTTAGTGTGTCTCTCTTTGTTTCTCTGCCCCTCTCTTTATTGCTCTGTATGTCTGTCTGTCTGTCCGTCTCTCTTTCTCTCTCTCTCTCTCTCTCTCTCTCTCTCTCTCTCTCTCTCTCTCTCTCTCCCCCTCTTTCTCTCTATATATATTGTAGAAAATTTTGTCACATTGGGTAGACATAAAGCTGTAAACTTTTACCCTTTGTTTTTCTTCAGGGCTTATTTATTTCTCTCATTCTCTCTGTAAATGTCCACAGAGGTGTTTACTGTGCTCTGAGTGCTGCCCGACTGACCAACATCATGACCAAAGAGCTTGTGGAGGGCACAGCCGACTTCATCACAAGGTTCAACCAGGCTTTTGTTCTCTTGTGTTTCTTTTTTTCTTCTGTCTTTATTTGAAGGGGTTCGTTAATGCAGTCGAAATTGTCAAAGACCGTCACCCACTGTCTAGGACAAAGGGGGGGGGGGGGGGTTAGACAAGTGGACGTGTTGGACACTGTCGTTACAGTGAAAAAAAAAAACCCCGCAAGAGGGGAAGTAGGAAATATTTGTTTGTACAGGTGAATGTCTTGAACAGGCGGTCATTAGAGCTGGTTTCGCTGTAGTTTCTTTCTTACCATCGAGGCCTGTCCCTGAAAGATTAACAACTGAGCTTTCCATTTTTTAGACCTTACCCCACCCGGCTTAGAAATGTGAATGCTGCTTGAGCAGCACTTTGTTAACTCTCGGTATTGTAAAGGACTGTAGTGCAGGTGGTCCTGTGTTGCATCCCCTACGGGGAATTCTGGAAATGGGGCAGTTCGGGGTGTAATCATTGTTTGGTCCAAGCTGAGAGGAACTTTAAATCAGATGTTATGCTTCTTGTCTGCCTTGACTACCTGGTACAATCGGAACAAGGAAAATGAAATACCTGGTACTTCGCTCTGGTAAAGAGAAACAAAGAGTGTGGGAAAAGGGCATTTTCCATGGAAAATTTCTTTAAAATCGCAGTAGAGAATACTCAAAAAGAATATAGAGTCAAGACATATCCCTGTACTACTGAACACTCCTGTCTCAGCTCAGAGGCTGGACGAAAAGGGTGTGGAAAATAAAATTTGCTCGGGGGGTTTGGCAGCGAGAAAGCTATGCTTCTAAAGGATCGTGCAACATGGAAGATGAATACATGAGATGCTATGTTCTAACGACAGCTACACAATTTTTTGTTCAACACTGAAAAATCCCTGTGACTTAAGATTTGACTGTCATAGATAATGTTAATGCCTTTCCTACCCCATAGAGCTGAAGAAATATAGAAGATGAATTGATTTTTTAAGTGAAAATGTCCCCCCTGACAGGAATCAGCTGAATTATAATTATAATATTTGTCTTTGCATCTCATTTTGAAGTAATTAAAGATTTGTCTGTTATTTCAGATGCCAGACATATGAAGGAGGCTTTGCTGGCTTCCCAGGAATGGAGGCCCACGGAGGGTATTCATTCTGTGGTATTGCTGCTTTGGTGTTATTGGGCCACACAGAGAGATGTGATGTTCAAGCTCTTTTGGTAAATTGTTTTTCTTTTTCTCACCTATGTGTGTGTTTGCTCACTGATGGTTTAGTGAAGATACACACGTCTCCTGGAGGTGCTGATTATATATTTTTTCTCTTGTGCACATGTGATTGTATACTATAACATAATGAATTAAGAAAGACCTTGGTGCTTCCCATCAGTCCCATGTAAGTGTTGATGGGTGTTTTCTTTTCTCTATTGGTTTAGTCATAAGGCTTAGGTGCCTCTAGCAAATAAACACGTCTTTCGTTGTTTTGCCTTGAAAATAAGTTCCAAGTGTTAGACATTACCTATATTGAGACCAAAGATCAGTGATATCAATGGACATTAGTCATCAGAATTTATTCCTTTCATCCCCTTTTCTTGCTCTTTCTTGTTATTTTGGTTTTCACGCTAATTATTTTGTACTAGCTCTCTTTATGTCGTCTCAGCTTTGATAGTAACATTTGTTGAGTTCACAAACTTTCAGTTTTAAAATATGTTAATCTTAGAAGTGAAAGGTCATTCGAAATGACCCTTTTCCACCACGATTATTAATGTGATCTACGTATGTCCAACTTGGCAATATCATGACCTTGCAATGGTCCAGTTCTTTGAAAACTGTGATGTCTCCCATTCTCCAGCGCTGGACAGCCAACCGCCAGACCAGACTTGAAGGTGGATTCCAAGGTCGTACCAACAAATTAGTAGACGGCTGCTACAGCTTCTGGCAAGGAGGCATTTTCCCTATCATTCACATGATTATGTGCACTGAAGGTAATTAAAAACATTAGGGTTAGGAAAGCACAATTTGGATATCATGTAACTTTACTCGTCTGGAGGACATGATAAAACGAAGGCGTTTTTATTGCCACGAATTACAAACTGATAAAGTGGTGAAATACAAAATGTTTTTTTTTTAAAGGAAATGTTGATGTCCTTGAGGCACAAGCTTTTGATTTCACAAAATAAAAACACACACACAGATGCACACACACACATTAACCCTTTAAACCTGAAAGACAGATATTTAGGTCTGGGCCATAGGTCTCAGAGCTTCAAATGCCCTTTATATATCGATATTCCACAACTACCTCAAACACAATTTTGCGAGGAAACCCATGAGCGAAATAAACCAGGAACTAGTACAAACTCAAAAGACTTATACCTCAATACAGGTCCGTTGGTTTCTCTGCTCCAAAGTCCCGATGTAGTAGTATTCCACTAACGCCTTGAATCTGACAGTCTGTGCAAGTCCATGAATCAGGAACCCAGGGGAACTAGTACAATCAGGGTTGGGACCTCAGGTTTCAAAGGGTTAACACAATAATTTAATGGTATGTTTGTTATTTAAAGTAACCAGAAATTTTTCTCCCCTCTGTGGGAATGACTATAGTTTAGACTATAATATAAAAAGTTTCCAAGACTAGTGGTTGGTGAGCATTCCAATCTGGTCTCCTCCCTATTTCTGTTGTCTGTTTTTGCTATGTAGCTGTTGTCATGATGTATACTGGCTGTATGCTACCACTCATCTACAGTATAGATTTATCTTCAATACACATTTGTTCTGTTAGATGATGATCCTAATCTCAGCCCAGGCCGCTGGATGTTCCATCAGGAGGCTCTTCAAGAATACATTCTCATATGCTGTCAGCATTGCTATGGCGGCCTCATTGATAAACCAGGAAAGTGAGTCTCAAAAAGTTTTTGTCTTGGTTTTGCTGGCTGTCCTTGATGTTTTGTGGAGGTTTTTCTTATTTCATTATGTGGGTATGCCTTCAGCTGCAGTGATGATACTTTGAATTACAGCTTCCTTCCTGTCAGGGTTTGGTTTAGAGGGGTATATCTGTTTGGCCATGTTTCATTTTTTTTGCTTAAAACATAAAATTACGACACCAAAGGAATAGATAAGGATATTGTTGAAAGAGGCAGACTGGAATGATGTATGATTATGAGACCACCTTTAAAATTCCTTTCGAACCAATAACTAGAGATTCAAAGCAAATAGTTTGTCCGTAAGGAGAAAGACTCTCTGTGGACATATTATGTTGCTGGCGGTTAGGCTCTCTATTTTCATTTTCAAAAGTACTATCATTGTTGATTGAGAAACTTTCATTTTCAAGTTGTTGATTTGAGGAAAATAAGGAACTGTATAGTAGCTTTTCTAAAACTACTATGTCTTACCAGGTATCCATGGTAATTTTGTTGTGCAGTGCAGTTATTCTTAGGCTAGGGTTATACATGCTTTAAAGCTACTCAAGTGTTCACACCACACACCAGAACTGTGAGTGAATTACCATATGGTCATTGCTCCACAGACCACGTGATCACTACCACACCTGCTATTGCTTAAGTGGCTTGTCTGTGGCCCAGCACTTTGTGGGTGGATCTCTGACCCAAGACGTTGTCATCGGAAATCCACAGAACAAACTTGTAAGTTTTTCAATCCAGTCTGGTTTTGTGTTAATTGATCACTGTATCGTTCAACTGGTTCATATGCATAGGTTGTTTTGGGGGGTTTTTCTCACACACCCCATCTCCCTAAATCAGTGCAGAACAGAAAAACTACTGGTTTTTTTAAGTTTTGGTCAATAGTGGCAAGTTTTATTGTATTATGCACACATAGAATAGTCAGATTGTTTAGGAGGCAGACTGATTCATCTGTGACTGTCAGGGTCCACCTTGGGTGTGTGAGTACATGCCTGCAGAATACTGAAACACTAGATGAAATATCTTCCTCATAGAGAAGTAGAACTCTCGTTCTTTGTGGGAAAGATGGAGATCATGACTATTACAGCATAGATCCAGAAACATGTCTTATGTCTTAGTTTTCATTTATTATTTCACGAACCAAGGCGTCTTACATGCAAGTGATGACCAAGTAAGTCCTTTTGACAAAAGAACGAATATGGAGAATTTTGATGCGATCTGCTTCAGATACTTCATTTTAGTGTTGCGCTTGTTTTTTATCTGTTCCTGGAAAAATATAGCACTTTTCATAACTTTCTATATAAACTGCCAATGGACAGCTTTACATTCAGTTTCATATTTCAGGCTTGATTCGTGATTCTCTTCATACATATAACTTGTCCTTAATGGTCGCTTGAGACTGTTATAGACAATGGCTGCTGCAATGTGGTCACATACTGGACTTCGCAACGTCACCAGATTTTTAAATCTGAAATTTTAATTTTGTATTTCCACATATATATATATATATCATTTCCATCAAAATTGGTATCTATCATAAAAGCTTCTTTCAGTCTGAGAACGGGTTGGCAGAAAACATTTGTAGCAAATGACCGCTATGGTGAGCAGGTTTTGAGGTTAACTTGTAATGAAAATGACTGATCATGGCCACTTTGACTAGTGACTACTTTGGACTAGTTAAAAAAAATAAATGAAAAAAGAAAGGGTGTCACACAGTTGTGGCTGTTAGTACAGGTGACCATTATGGAGAGGTGAGCGCCAGGGCAAGTTCAACTTTATTTTATTTTCAAGTGCAAGAACTGATGTCTTTTTCTTGATAAAATGGTTGGATGACAGACCTCTGTATTGTGAGAGAGAAGGGTGGGGGGTTGGGATTGAGGAAGACGGTAAAACATTACATTTTTATCGTTTCGAGAGTAATGTTTATCTCTGTGTACCACAGCGACCCGTGCAGCCAGTCTACAATCTCAGTCTTGATTCCGTCATGATGGCCCACAAGTATTTCTCCAAGAAGAACATGCCAAACAGCCAGGAAGCCCACAAAGGCCCCTCTGACTCATCCTAGTGGATGTTTTGTACTTCGTTGCGGTCCATGTTATCTCCACTGTCTGTCTGAAATGGGCTTTGTAGAACAAATGTGATTTTTTGCCTCAGTGAGCTGAGTAAAAATGTACTGAGTATCGTAGGAAGTGGATCTTGTTTGTGAACTTTTGCTTAATTGTTTCATGATAATTTGTGAATATGAAAGCTGGAAGGTTTGGGTTTTAATCTGAGGAAGTCTGGCCAGTTGAACACATTACAGTGCAACCGGCCCGGGATTGCCTGTAAGTTTCTCTGTATGCATCACCCTTATGGGCCTGGAATCGCCCGCTCAGATTCAGATTAATCAGAAGGAGAACCTAGGTCTAGAGCCCAACGCATGAGTGAGAGTGAAGGGTGATTGGTCAGACACACTGATTGAAGTAAAGTTAGAACATTTCCAAGAACCTGTGCATACAAAGTTATATTTTTCTGAAACTATGTATTCATTTCTTTTTCTAATTTTTATTTTATCAGAATTGTTTGAATTTGGTATATTTTTAGAATGTTTTTCAAAAATAGTTCCTTTCATCTGGTGTGAGTTACCTCCCCTTGCTTAAGATTCAGGGGAATAGAATTACCGTCCAGACCCTGTAGGTGTAATGTGTTAAAATCAAATGAAGTGGCTGTTGCTTTTTCCTGTCCATTTTATGTTATGATCTGATTAAACCTCATCATTCGTTGATTTTGGTTTTCTAGGGCTGTCGTATATATCAGCTAGTTACACTCTCTTTTGTCTTCTCTTTTCCTTTCCCACTCCCTTTTATTATGGATTGCTGACAATCGTTGTGGACTTTTTCACTGCAAAATTTTTAAGGAAGCCAATTATTCCCTTGTGTTGAGAAGGAAGAGTTCTTACTTTTTTTCATTAGTGGTAGTTTATACACAATTTGAAACAAATCTCAAATGATTTTTAACTCACTTGCGACTGGGCCCTTTCACCAGTCACAAGCGTTGAAGACTGGCGTTTTTGGGGGTATTTCAATAAATCACCACAACTCTCAGAATTACCCTATTGTAATTATTTTTTGACACAGTAAAGTAACATTCAAGCTTAATCTAATACAAAAAAACAAAGTTGTCTAAGTTTAATACTTTAATTTGTATGATTTTTTAAAAATTGGCATGAATTTGATTTTCCAAAAAATTTCCAGAGACATGACAGGTGGAATGAAATTCACTACAACAACAAAAATAAAAGTTCAAAGTGTTCTGGTTTGATTTGTATACATGTGCGGGTGTTTGGTGAATATATAAAAGCTGGTCTGTGCATTGATTCAGACCCATACACTAAAAATACATAGACAGATGTACGGCACGGCGTTGTGATTTCGTTGCGCGAAAAACAACACCGGTACTAGTGCTAGATCTAGCCCTAAAACTACGACTCGGGCCGTGTTCAGGTACATATCCAGGATCCTAACTATTAGACACATCATATTCTGAGACACTAAAACTAGTAAAACGTACAGAAGTATAGAAAATGGCGAAATTATGTGATTCTGGTTCATGCGACTTCTTCGACCGTTACTACGACGCGACTGTCGGATTACTATCAGCTGTATAGAAAAAAACAAAGCGCGAGTTCCGGTCTGTTCAACCCCAGTTGGGGTCACTGTCCTTCACCTTCAATAACTTAAAAACTACCGGCCCCAGAGATATGAAACGAAGTCTAAGTTGCTCAGGCTTGGCCAAACAAGGGTACGAGGCGGGTCTCGCGATCCGTGCGTGATTTGTAGAGCGAAAAAAAAATTCCAAAGTTGGTCATGCAGGGCTCGTGTGACCCGTCGCGAGCGTCGCGGCGGGGGTCACGCAACTGGCCAACTGTTGTGTGACCCGTCTGAAGTGAGTTAACACATTGAAGTTAATGTAGTACGGTATTTGGTTATATATGGATGAGTGCAACTTACAAATGATGCAAACAGGCAAAGATTTCTTTTGGCAAGAGAATAAGCTCTTGCATAGTTCTGTATCTGGCATTTTAAAGAAATATGATAAAAAAGTTTAATTTCTGAGCAGTGTGATGTGAACAGTTTTACTGGATGTGAATAAATGCGACTAAATCGACAGAAATTTTTTCTAAGATGATTTTCTGTTCATCATGGAGAATTAAAAGCAATATTTGTCTTCTGTGGTGCTGTTGTTATTTTGCTCCTTTTCTCTTGTGTTTGTGCCGTAAGCGTCAGTTTGGTAAATGATTTATGGCATTCTCAATTATATAAGATCAGATAAGCGCACAGGACATGTGTTGGTTATTTTCACATTAGTTCGTAGCATGGCTTGGTATTACTTTGCAAGTTGAAATGGTTGAAGTTGAAGTATTATTAAAATATATATGTGTGTATGTGTGCTTGGTGAAAGGTACCAAATGACGCATTTTGAAGAATCCTGGTTTTTTGCATTTTCTTGTACAGAGATCATTTCTAAACAATATGCTTGTTTAATTTTTAAGACATCTGCAGTAGTTTTTGAAATGGGTGATTTTGTAAGGCAGGGTACGGAAAGAAAGTTTTGAGAAAAACGGCTTTAAAGTTTCCTCTTTGTTTCTGCTTCAAATACATAGATCTACGCATTGAAACAACTTGACAACACATTGGCTACTCACAAACCAACTTTAAAAAGCAGCTAAGATAAAAGAACAGCTTCAAATTGTTTATATTTCATCTTCGAAACAAAATCACCACCACCTTGAGGTAGAATTTTCAAGAAATTAGATCTAGAATTTCACTACGACTACTGTACGATCTGCATAGCTTCCTTGAGACAAGCCTAGAAAACCGGATATTTTGCGAGACTGCCCCTTGCGCCGAACAAAGAGAGTGGTGGACAGCATTTTCACACTCAACTTTCCAGACACATAGGACTAGGACTGGTTGGGGGGTTGGGGGACTGAAACATTATTTGATTGGTCACTGGAAATGCATCTCTTTGAGAGAAGGTTTCTGACTGGTGTTTGAGTGACTGCGTGTTGGCTAATGTTTAGTTAGACCTAAGCCTATGATGCGCAACACGCGTGAATGCTCGTTCATGAATTTACGGTCGGGGATGGTCGCTTGGAAAACGTGGCTGGGTCGTCGTCTCTATGACTATCACCAAAAATTTCTTTTTAGGCTATCAGTTCCCGACATTTTATGGTGCATTCATTCATTCATTACATCAAGTCTTGTCTTTCTGCCCCCCCCACACACACACACCCATTCAACGCCTTTGCAGTCTTAACCGCAGTCGGGGAATCTTTTACAAAACAGTCACGTGTCGTCACATTATCGGCCCAAAGTGACCCCCACCCCAAAGGGAGGTCTCTAGAATATCAAGGCAATGAGATGACTGCGTCCCTTCCTCCCTATGCCAAGGTTCATGTAAACGCACGCTCCGTATAAACACACATTAAGGAGCTCTCCCGAGCACAGTGCGTTTATTTTTGACCTTTGAAGCCTGATATCCCGGTTTGAACAAATGCGTCTTTTGGTACCTTTCACCTGGCACGCTCACATATATTATATATATATGTGTGTGTGTGTGTGTGTCACGACACTGTGGAATCAGGTGCTTTTCAATTTTTGCTCATGTGGAGTTATTTGCCTTGTTTCAGTGAAAAAAATATCCATCTAGCTTGAATAGAAGTCGAGATATTTGCTATTGAAGAAGGTGGGGTAGCCTGGTTTCAGTGGTTAAATTAATGAAATATAGGTTTGGTAACTTCAATAGCTTAAGCGTCCTTGAAAACTGAAAATTACATATATTTTGTGCCTTTAAACAAGGTTTTTCAGTAAAATTAACGTTGAAATGTTTTCATATGAACATAAAAAAAGGTGTTTAGTCACCCAAAAAAATTCTATAATAATTGCAAAACTGGGGGTAAAATGTCTTCTTCGATTTCATTATTTTGACGAGCGCCTGATTTCACCATGATGCCTCACACATGGTAAAATTTAGTTTTTAAAAAACAGCAATTCATAATTTGAAGTAACACTATTTACATCTTTGAATAAAGACAAATCAATGATCTCAATAAAACTAAGAATTGTGTTGGGATAATGACAGAGAACAGATTCAAGTGAGTACACAATACAGTGGAAACCTGATATAACAGGGATGGTGGGACCAGAGAAAAGGTCCTGTTATATATCCGATCCCTGTTAAATCAGAAATGCAAGGGAAGTAAGCATTTGTGGACTAATCCAGCTGTACTTATTCATGGGTAGTTTCCCTTGCTGCAAGTACCCACGAACAGGAGTTTTGCCAAACCATGTGGCAGGCCAGTGCATTACACGTGCGTGTACCTTGGCTAAGGACTAGAAGATCGAAGTCTGCAGCACACCGCAGCCCTCTCTCGCTCCACCTGATGCTTATGCTTGCAGCAGTAACGTGGGCTTGCTCAATCACTGCCTCACTCTCTCTCTCTCTCTCTCTTACTTTTTTTTAATACATTGTTAACAAGCCTTTGTCCCTGCTATAACCAATTGGGCTCCGATGATGACCTGTTATTACCGATAATTTTTAACAGAGACAAAGAGTAGGATAAAACAGGGGTTTTAAAAATCCCTGTTTTTACCGGGCCTGTTATATATGGTTTCCACTGTATTTCCGTCGGGTTTCTACAAAGTCTGGATGCTCTATCAAGATGTGCCTGAAAATAAAATCGGTATCGTTTTGCATCAGATTCTATACAAAACAGCTTTTCATCTCCCTGCAGGAGATATCTTTGCGTCTGCACTACAACATGCTCTTTACACTTTACATCAATCCAAGGGGCACTACTACATTGCATAAAAAAAAGCTCATTTGATAAGAGATTATTAATTATTGTAACTAATGGTGAATAAATCAAAGTCTGTTATACGTTGGTGTTGAGCGCTCGTGCAATATGTTTCACTTTATTGTTTTTCCCTCACCTAGTTATCTTCCTTTTTCCCCTCACCTAGTTATCTTCCTTTTTCCCCATCTCGTGTCATCGTCATCCACATCTGGGTCTGAGTCGTTCAACTCTGCCAGTGTAGTCAGGATTTATTATCTCCTTTCTTCTGCTCCAAGATATATCTTGTACCCTTTTCCGCCATGAACATTGCCAGTTGCATTGTAGAGTATTCACTCTTCTTACATTTTGTGTTCAGATTCTAAAAAGGTGCCCAGCCTGACAAAATCAAACTTTCCTCACATGTGATATTACTTTTGTGAGACAGATAATACCCAAACAAATAGAAAAATGCAAGGGAAAATACCACAGTGTTCTGCATTTCTGCAAGAAATAGATGCAGTGCGAGATTTCCGAAACTGTCAAAGGCAACACTAACTTTTCTTCAGAGGAACTTCATGATCTTTTAATGATGATAAAATTTGCCATTGTTTGCCACTCCAAAATAAATGGTAAATTAACTGATGTTGGGTTGAAAAATAAAGTGTACCTTGAGAAGTATCGAGTGTTCCTCAAAACAGTCACTTATTTCATATTTTTCACCACTGTCTTCCAAAGTTTAATCCTGGTTTACAAATCTCTTCTGAATTTCAGACGCATGCCCCCTTTGCAATAGCTGTCACTTCTCAGCACTTATGTTAGGAGTTTGCATGTGGACTAGTTTCTGAATTAATAGCCCACTTTTTACCATTAAAAAAGTAAAAGCTTGTATTTTCATATTTTGATCCTTTAGATTTAGACTAAAAAACATACATGTAGTACACTAAGCT